CAGTAAGAATAGATGTAAACGTTTCATGGCTAAGATTAGATGTAGGAGTAAATATCATCCACGCAGAACATGCTCTAACGTATATCATTAGAGATACTTCTGTTTGTTGAGAGGTTTTCTCATTATTCTATAACCTTATTTGATATTTTTGACCCATTGGGTACACTGTAACAAGTCTACTTAATATTTTAACACTTACAGTATACGCGTATACTGTACAGTTATTAATAAATAAATATAGTATGTCGGTTTATGTTGGCTGAGAAACTTCCTCATAATTTTATACTTTCTTTATTTGCTTGATGTTTGAGCTGCATAAGGTAGATTGTAATAGGTCTATTCAATATTTTAATATTTATGTCCGATTATTATTATATACAGCATATTGGTTGAGAAGTTTTCCCATCGTTCTTACGTACTTTATTTGTTTGATATTGGGAATTGCATAGGTAAACAGTGATACGTCTATTCAAGTACCGGTATCAAAAATATGCCATGTTCGTTCAACCTTGTTTATACAGTCTAATGATGTATAGGTGTATATTGGCGACGTTATTCATCGTTTCATTTCAAATATACCTCAAATTGTTTTGAGGTGTTTGTCAGAATCTCAATAAAATACGGTTTAATCGTGCTCATAATATTTTCCTTTCGTGCAATATAGGTATTCGATGCCCATTTACGTGTCCGTATGCAATTAAAGATGCTGTAGCTTATCTTACCTATTTATATGACTAGTTTACATAATTTACCGTACTGTGCGCATACAATTAAAGATACTGAAATTATCTGACCCATTTACATAATTTATATGTGCACAAGCAATTAAAGATGCTGTAGATTGTCCGTAGATTATCTTAGAAAAATACGATAGATTGCAAGTGAGAAATAAGTTGAAATTTCCCGCGAGTACCATACAGTATACTGTACTGTAATATGCTTACCTAGTATTTCCAATACGTTCCATCACGTATCAATGCTATCAGTAATACACTAGTGCCTACCGGTCTGAGAATGGAGATCATACATTTACCAACGTAGAAGTAGCTAAAGCATCCAATAGCATCAGGATTATCTGTCGAAGTGACTTTGTTAACCTAGATACTGACTGTGGCATTTAATGGGCCCGAGGAAATTAAAGGTACCACAGCAGGATTACTATATACTTGGAAAAACAATATGAAAGATGATTTTGAGCGACCAGATGGAAGCTATATAGATATTAATTCCACGGAATCTTAGATATATATTATAATTTTGGTCAGTTATGGATGATCAATGCAACTGATTCTCTATTTACTTATCCTAAAGGCCAAATAAGTGGCTAGCGATTTCCACTAATACAAGTTTTATGCCGATACTTAGTGATAACATCCGACAACTTTTTTGGCAATAACTCTGTAACGGTTTTAGGTAAGTCTTTATTTAAGAGCCTGTCCTACTCCTTGCTCATACATGTACATCTGTCGCAGCTGGTCTCTTATCCAGTGATTATATATGTTGTATATCAAACGTTATCATAATGACTATTTATCCCTAATACTTTAATACAGTATTCATATTTAAAGCGTACCAAGTCATAAGCAACACATCTAATACTATGAACCATACGAATGTACATACAATGACGTATACTGTCACATCTCCTTCTCCTTCTTTATCGTAGTACTAGTTTATATAGTGCAATCATCAAGCTATGTTAAGCTAATGGAACAACTAGCTCGAAAATTAATGAATGCTTAACAGATACCAATATGTATGTATTCAATCAATTCTTACTGCTTTAATAGGAATGGGTCATATACATGTACCTGTATGCCAGGCTATGCTGGAGATGGATATAGATGCCAAGATATCAATGAATGTATTACTAGTAACTCATGTAGTGATAATGCGGATTGTATGAATACTGATGGTTCACATATTTGTATATGCAAGCAAAGCTTTCATGGCAATGGAACAACATTCAATGATGTTAATGAATGCCTTTACGGTAACCATTCATGCTTAGTTGTTTCTGATTGCTTAAACAAGAACGGGTCTGACACCTGCAACTGCTATCCAGGCTATACTAGAAATGGCTTTGTATATCAGGATATATCGATGAGTGTACCTTCAGTAACCAATGTGACTCCAATGCCGACTGTACCAACAATGTAGGATCTTATAATTGCCGACATAAAAATGGATATATTGGCAGCTGTAGATCATGCTCAGATATAAATAAATGTGCTACTAGTATTCATTCATGTTCTATAAATGCTTCGTGTGGTACTATTAACGGATCTTATACATATACTCGTATATGCAATACTGGCTATATAGGGAACAAATTTACTAGTAAAGATGTAGATGAGTGTACCACAAATGATTATAATCAATGTGATCTCAATGTCAACTGTACTAATAATATTGGTTCTTATATTTGCTATTACAGACATGGTTATACCGGTAATGGTAGATCGTACGTAGATATCAATGAATGTATTGTGGGGTAATCACATTTCTTGCGCAAAAGCCACCTGTAATAAGTCACCTGTCTAATAATTGTAGCCAAATTTGTAATAACACCGTCGGAAGTTATACATGTTCATGTATTCAAGGTTACGAGTTAAGTAGTGATAAACTTACTTGCGTGGATATAAATGAATGCCAACGATTTAGACCATGTGACCAAGTTTGTATTAATACAGAAGGATCGTTTACATGTGAATGTGAACAAGGTTTTGAACTAAATAATAACAACCTAACATGTAGCGTTAGCGATCCATGTGATTTTGGACATAATTGTTCGCAAATTTGCGCCTATATAAAGGGGTCTGAAATATGTTCATGTATGAAAGGTTACGCGCTAACATATGGAAGCCAGACTGAGTGTGAAGATGTCGATGAATGCAGCCTCAATCCTAGTCCATGTAATCAACTATGTACAAACAGCGATGGTAGCTATACATGTAGTTGTATGAACGGCTATCGATTTGGTTCAGATGGTTGGACATGTTACGATATTAATGAATGTTTAGAAAATAATCCCTGTAGTCAAAATGCAAACTGTACCAACGCACCTGGTTTATATTCTTGTCAATGCAAAATTGGTTATACTGGCAATGGTAAAATTTGTAGCGATATCGATGAATGTTTAACAGGTTCAAATATGTGTTCTTCTAACGCTAGTTGTATGAACAACAATGGATCATACTCTTGTATGTGCAAGCCAGGCTTTATAGGGAATGGATATACATGTCAGGATGTCAATGAATGTTCAACAATGTTTAATTGCAATACTAATGAGATAAACAATTGTACATCTGGATTACGCCGGTGCTCAGTTAATGCGGCTTGTAGTAACAGCATTGGATCGTATACATGTGGTTGTAATAGTGGCTATTCAGGAGATGGATTTACTTGTCAGGATATCGATGAATGCAATGCTACTAGTCTCAATATGTGCGTTAATAATTTTCAGTGTATTAACACTAATGGATCATATCAATGCAAGTGTAACGCTGGTTATTTTGGAAATGCACGAATTAATTGCAGTGACGTCGATGAATGCTCAAGTAACCAATATAATTGTCATAGTAATGCTCATTGTACTAATACTCCAGGATCATTTACGTGCCACTGTAAACCAGGTTATTATGGCAACGGTGTTACTTGCGCTGCTGTCGTTACCTGTGACGGAAATAATAACTGCACTAATAGAGCAACCTGTATGATATTTGAGAATAAGTATTATTGCAGCTGCAAACTTGGATACTATTCTAACAATACATTACCGCAAATTTAACTTCAAAGCGATTCTCACTGTCAACAAGGCAAGGTCTTTTTTGGAAGTCTTAAAATTGGTGGTACATTCACATCAGACTTGAACAATTCAAATTCTGCTATATTTCAAACACTTAAGCAGCAGATTACTTCAGTATTAACTTTAGCCCTTGAATCTTCTTCGGTAACCAAAGATGGTTTCGAACGAGTAGAGGTTACAGGATTCAAAGCTGGTAGTATCATTGCTGAATATTATCCGATATTTAAGCAAAATTCTAATATTAATCCAAACCAAATTGCTAGTATCATATCTACTGGCTCAGTTACTATCCAAGGACAACCGATACAAAATGTCACAGTTACCGACTTCAATGAATGTGCATGGTCAACAGACAACATCTGTAATAGTAATCAAAACTGTATTAATTTACCGGGTACTTACAATTGCCAATGTAAAGTTGGTTTCACTGGATCTAGCTGTGTCGATATCAATGAATGTCTGGCAGCAGAATCATGTGGAATTAACGCTGTATGTCGAAACACTTTAGGTTCATATACATGTACATGTTTGATTGGCTATCAAGGCAATCCATACTCCAATCCCGGTTGTAGCATTGAATGCAATGATGATTTCTGTCTAAATGGAGGAAAATGTATTTACCAAAATAATACACGCACATGTAATTGTACTGACGCTTATACTGGCATTAGATGTAGCAATTTAAAAGCAACAGGACTTTCGATTGGGGCAGTGGCTGGAATTTCGGTGGGAACAGTAAGTGCAGTATTTTTAATCGCTATAGCTGGCCTTGTATACTATCTACGAAGTCCATACTATAATAGACGAACTTCAGTAGCACATGGTGTCGTTAAAGACCACACCGAACATCAATCATTAGCGGATTCTTCAAGCGATAAAGTTGAATTAAAGGATCATTCACCTAAGATTGCATTTATTAAATCTATAGCACAGGATCAAAACAGAAATAATCAAACATCAAGCTCACCAACTGTTAGAGTGCAAATAGAAGTTAATGAGCAAACAAGCATTGAGCCTCGTAATACTATTCCAGAAAGCCAGAATAGCTTAATAGCTGAAACCGATGTCAGCAATAGTGAAAGTAAATTTGAAGAAAAACCAAGCCGACCAATTTTAGCGTCAATACAAAATCCTACAATTACCAATACACCATTACCAAAGTTGCCTGATTTTAAAAATAGTACTTATTCTGAACGCTAGTACAGTATAACAATTACTCATTAGGCCTTTGCACGAAAATATAACGATGGTATTCTGGTTAGATCTTGTTATACAAATTTTAAAAAATGTTCTATATCACAGCTTTAATGTGCAGGCAAATGTGTTATAGTACTTTCATTAGCAAAATCTTACCTATGGCTTATCCTAGGTCAATATGACAAGAAATGCTCCTATGTCAGTCAGCATTAAGAAATTTTATCTCATTCGAACTTAAGTAAACTCTTGCTGAACGAGTACGCAATAAGTATAAAGTAATGTAGAGATACTATAGCAGAGCTATGCTAAACAAATATCATTACGCCATTTACGCGATAAGAAACGAAAATGTTAAACTTATTGACGGCGGTAAGAGTGACGTAACTCCAGAAGATATGTTTACCCAAGATAGAAATTAGCAAAATAATTACCTACGTATACTGAATTGGTCGCATTTTAGTGTAATCCTGAAGAATAATTTTTAAATTCTACAGTACTTAATTAATTCCGCTAGAAAGCATAAGTATGTGACGTAAAATAGGATGAGAATAATTATGTACGCACGAGTACGTATATCGAAATGATCAAATTCTAGCGTAATTCGAAAAGAATGTAAATTATTATCTACAGTACTAGAAATAAAATGTTTAATATTTATTAACGAACACAAAGTTTCTATCTAGAATTTAGTATGTTCTTTACTAAATGTACAACCGCGGCCGCGTAGCCAGGCATTTTCGCACAAATTTGGAAGTAGAAGAACGCTGACGGTTGCATATTTTATACACTGTGCATGCACAATATGGTAGCATACCCACTTCTTCACGATAGAGTTTAGAAGTTTATTGGTTAATACCATTTCTAAAGCTCTTTGACCATTTTAAAGTCGACAAAAACCATCTACACTTAATACTAATTGTGGAGATGGGCGTAATTTTCCTTCTACTTTCTGCTTGACTGTGACGGTATTACAAAAAATCCCCATTTACTGTACATAATACGTATACTGTACGGTATAGTATACGCGTATACTGTAAATTTACATTTCTGTACCTTGCCACTTCTATAGTTTTAGTGAATGAGAATAATATCAAAAACCGAATAAAGGAGACTAAATGAACCTTATCCCATCAAAAATAATAATAAATTCATAAAGTTAGTACTATTACTGTATATCTACCGTGATAAGCGTAGCTTATAGCTATACCACTAGACTCTAAATGATATGCGGTTACGGAT